CCCGAACGCCGAAACTGCCAATGCGCAGCAAATTGCATGCAAATTGGCATATTGGAGCACGCGTGGAATACTGCGTGCGTGGTGCATATATGGTAGCCACACGTACCTCGACGTTACGGGGAACGTCCGGAAGGCGACAAATGACCTAGAACAGGCGCAGCTACTGGCTACGCCCTGTCCGAGTTTCCCGTTGTTAGGATGCTCTGGATATTTGGATTGGGGCTCCTTTACACACATTGCGCATGGCTCTCTCATTCTCTGACTTCGTCGTTTCTTCTCACGTGGTTTTTTTTGACATGTTTTTGTTACGTGTACGTATCTACCCTCGATATCATCCCATATGTCTTCCCTCAACATGACGTGGATTACGTGGCTTGGTGAGGCGCCGCCTCGCCTCGGGCTTGCGCCACGTTGCGAGCGCATCATTTGGCGCGAAGTGGCGCTCAACACAACGTGGCGCAGGCTTTTCCACGTTCTTCTTGTTGCCAAATCACGTCGAAGATGCGCACGCAACGTGGCGCAAGCCCGAGGCGAGGCGGCGCCTCACCAACAAGCCACGTAATCCACGTCATGTTGAGGGAAGACATATGGGATGATATCGAGGGTATATTATTGCTCACTGTGATGATGTTATGATTTGCTTTCTTTTGTATTTGCCCATCTGTAAGCATATGCTCTTCAAACTGCCTTTTTGAAAAACTTGTTTCAGGCTGCAGCAGTATGCATAGTGCAATAAAAGATCATCCTAGTATGGAGGTTAGTAGATATCTGCGTTCTTGAGTGATGTGATACTTTCGTATTTTCCCATAAGTTAGGTATTTAGTTAACTATATCATATTTTTATATGTTTATTAGTTCTTGTGCAGACCTCTTCCAAGTTGATGATGTCGAACGGATAGTGTGAGTAGAATTCCACTCAACAACGGACTGCAAGTCAGTTATATCAGGTGAAGGTGAGCTATTATTCTTTTGCATCTTCTTTACAATACGACTTTTCTTCAGGATGAACATAGAAGAAGATTTGGAGCACTTCGAGCAAGGACGCATTCTGCGGTGGGATCTCGATTTTGAGATTGTTCGAGCATTTCATTCTTCCTTTTTTTGATTTTAGCTGTCGCTTGCGATACACTGTAATGTGTTAGTGATAATAACCATTCTTTTTTTCTTACTGTTAGCATCTGTTTCTTACTGCCTTTTTTCATTCAGAATAAATGGTTACCGTTTGAACTGTAGGACAGAACAGCGCAGAAAGCACGAGAAAGGTAACAGAACTGATTATGGAAAGAATTGGGTTTGCTAAACGTTTGAGTACTTAAACAACCTAAACCGGCAAAAAGATTATGTATTTTTCCAGCGAAAGGGAGCTGCTTTGCAACAATATGATCTTTTTGATTCATCTTGTCTGTTTTAACAGTACCGTACTCTGCCTTTGCCATGTCCTGATTACCGTTCATGACAAGCTCAATCATTGCGATGCATGGTCTATGAATCTGAATGTGACAAACCGACTTCCGTAAATCAAGGGAAAGTTGAAGATCGCGGAAAAATTGCACTCCTAGATCTACGCGCTTTTGAAAATTGATTTGCTTATACCGTCTGTTGAATGGTGAAATGCGATGCTTCCTTCTTCGTTCCAGAGCTACAATGACTTTTCGTAGCTCTGTTATTTGATCGTTTTAATCTTGAAATGATAAAATCAAAAGTTGCACTACCAAACTTATGGTCAAGTAATCAGCGAGTAGGTAAGGGTTCCAAGTGAAACATTCACTCCCACTGCTTAGCCCACATTTGACCAGTAGTTTGACCCTAGGCATAAAGGAAAAAACAATGGGAAGTCAGAAGAATGCCGTTACCATAAGTGCGCCAGCGCGTATGCCGAAAGAGCGTCAGTCCCTGCCTGACTGACCTCGCGGTCAGTGTCACAAGCGCTCATGAGGGGGCGTGGCCTATATGCGCTCGCTCCAACTTGGTTTTGTCGCCTTCCGGCCTACACCCCGACGTTACATACCGATTTTCATATGCGACTAGCGGGATTACAAAGATCAGTCGACTTTGCGTCTGTTTTTATTTCTTCTCATGTTTGCTGACTCTAGGTGAGTTCTAACTTTCGTGCTGTGCGTTTTCTTTTCTTTTGAGCATGACGATCTTGTTGAGGTAATGCTTTGTTCTGTCTATGAGTCATTTCTTTCCATATTGATCTGGTGCAATAAAAAGGCCCGGTCTTTGCTCAAAAGCGCCCAAATTTTTCTGTCTTTCTCTGGAGGACAGATAGGAGTGAAGAGAGATTCAAAAAACTTGAGCGCTTTCGGGCGCTTTTGAGCGAAGTCTGGCCGGGGCCAAAGAGGTATTCTAGTCATCTTTACGCGTTAGGCATACTGTCCCTGTAAAGTATAAACAAAAAGTTGACAACGCACGTACTTAGAAAACAGACAAAGAAAATGTGCATATTCTACTCATTCCAGATCAATATGGAAAGAAATGACTCATAGACAGAACAAAGCGTTACCTCAACAAGATCGTCATGCTCAGAAAAGAAAACGCACAGCACGAAAGTTAGAACTCACCTAGAGTCAGCAAACATGAGAAGAAATAAAAACAGACGCAAAGTCGATTGATCTTTGTAATCCCGCTAGTCGCATATGAAAATCGGTATGTAACGTCGAGCTACGTGTGGCTACCATATATGCACGACGCACGCAGTATTCCACGCGTGCTCCAATATGCCAATTTGCATGCAATTTGCTGCGCATTGGCAGTTTCGGCGTTCGGGGCGGGTTTGGGCGTATTCGGACGTATTTGGGCGTATTTGGACGTATTCGGACGTATTTGGGCGTATTTGGACGTATTCGGGCGTATTTGGGCGTATTTGGGCGGGGTACAGGCGCGGTCTGAACGATCCCTTACCTGAGTATAGTGGAAATGACAAAGTATTGGAAGCAGTATGCGAAGTAGGTATCATTTTGAAATCAACAAGTTGGCTAACTCCTTCCGAACAAACCGAAATGCATATTATATTCGATATCATCAGGAAAGATAAGCCCAGGCAGATAAGAAATCAAAACGTAAGGCGATTTCAAGACTTCAGAAAAAAATCACTTTTCTAGTACTAAATAGCGATGAAAATAGTGGAAATGAAAAAAGAAACTGTCATTTTTATCTTAATAGAATAGCTGGCAAAAAATAAGCCAGAAATATGGTGCTCCGAACAAGATTGGTGCTCTAGTGCGACTCTTGTTTGGAGCACATTATTTTTCGGCCAATAAGTTTGGCCAAATACTGTACGTCGGGCAGGTTTGGGCGTATTCGGACGTATTTGGACGTATTCGGACGTATTTGGACGTATTCGGACGTAATTGGGCGTATTTGGATATCATTCATTCTATGACTAGGAGACGCGAGACCGCATTGCACACATTGTTCAAAAAGCCTAATCGTGGACTTAACAGGTTTATAATTGTAATTTATGTCGTAAGAGTTTATCATCTTTTTGGAAACAGGGAAGAACAAACTCAACTGTTAAGACAGTGTCGGCGGCAACGCCGTCTCCCACTCCTAGTCATAGAATAGATGATACACGACTTGTTGTTATAAGTGATCAGTGACGTGCCCAGGACTTCCTTTGGGGCGGGGACGACAAAAAATTTTCTCGGGTGAAAATGCGTGGATGTACAGTCGAATCATTTCATATAATCATGTGTGTGATTGCACACACACACTCCACCTTTGGCGTCCTCTTCCTGGATTTAATCGCAAACGCAAGAGACCAATTGTTATCGATTACATCAACTCGAGGTGATTAGTACTAATGAAAACACTTACCTAGAGGGTTGGTTCCTCCAAGAATCCAGGATAGGAACGCCAAAGGTGGACAATGTGTGCAGTGAACACATGATCATATGAAATGATTCGACTGTACATCGGTGAAACAAACGGGACACCTCCCCCCCCCCCCCCGCGTTACCGTACCCCCCCCCCCTCCCTCCCCCTATGAACAAACTAAAGGAAGTTCACTTGAGTACTGCCAGTGTCGGAAGTCAGCGAATTCAGATAAATGCGTTTACAAGCAACCGATTTCGGGCCTAAAAATTATACCGATGTGCAGCTTTTTTTGCAGATCTTCGTCAGTAGTTGAAAAGAAAGCTTCGGAAGACGTAAAATGATGGATTTTTCATGAGTAAGACAGAAACGGGAAGATGTAAAAGGCGCTTGTAAAAAGACGCAGATGAGCAAGTCAACTTTGAATTCTGGGGTGAGCATAGGACTGGAACACCTAATGACTATTGAAGTATCGCATTACAATTTTAGTACTCATTTGAGAATATTTATCAATACCAGGAATTATGAGCAGTAGCTCCTTTGACCTGAGCAAGCTGTAGAAAAGAATGAATGATTGCTCTTTTCACCCAAGCAAGGTACAAACATATAATGAGGAATTAAATGAGGCCCCTTAAAGGCAGCAGCTCGCCAGAACCGAACATCCCGAAATTTTGACATGGAAGGTTCGTTGCACCCCAAACATGGAACAGAGCAGATTGGAGCGCACAGCATGCTGCCCTTGCCTAGAAAACTGCCCCTAAACCCGCTACGCGCAGGCCATTCTAATACGCGCGGACGAGCTTGCGATTCTCCCTGACCTGTCTGAGGCCTAAGGCATACCTTGCGCGATTTCGGTCGCTGCGCGATTTGACACAACAGCGACTCCTCGTAACTTGTCGTCAATGCGCTGCCTTTGGTCAGAACTTGCTCTGTTTGCAACAGCTCACACAAACTACCTAAATATGCCTCCGAAAAGTGCGCATGATAAATTTATAGAAATCTGGCAAATCGCCAAGTCGCGTGAAAGTGACGATTCGGCCGAATCGCGTGAGGTATGCCTTAGGCCTGCGAAGGCATGCCGCAATGTTATATATAACTGCGAGGGTCCCACAACGATTCTGCCTCTTTAACCATGGCGGGACGTGCTCCACTCGTCCAGATTCAAACTGGGAGGTCTTGGGAAAATGGGAGGCCTTGGAGTTTTTGCCATTTTCGCGCTCTTCAAGGTGGATTTTTCGAATCAGCGCCTTGAATTACCCCAGGTAAGCAAAAAAATCTCGAGTCGAGAATCTGCCGAGCTGCTGCCTTCAAGCGGAGCAAAGCAGAATTCTAGACTGCTTATCGCAGGTGGTCTCTTTTTTGTAGACGTAACTTGTTTAGGCCAACCGTGTATATTCGATTATTGACCTCAACTCGTCCCGAATCAGCGACTTGCGAACAAGAGAGAAGGATTCATTAAAAAATTGTTCTGTCCGTGTAGCGTTACTGCCAGGCGTAGCAGAGCGCGAAAGTTGATTGTGCTAGTTTCTGAGGAAGTGCAGGGTATGCTATGAGCCAGATTGTAACTAAACAGGGAAGCCACCTAACTTAGCTCGGCCTTTTGGCAAGGGACATATATAGTCTGAAACAGCTTCAAACGCTCTAAATATGCTATTTCTAGCTGTCATGCACCATTGTGAAGCAAGTTATGGGCTCCTCGCAAAATTGGCATGCTCATCGACTCACGGGCATCATGCATCATAATTTAAGTGCTGATACATATGCGTTAAGCTTTTTCTAGTGAGAAAAGATTGGATTTGTACTATTTCGATACCTCAGCACCTTTTTCTTGCAGATTTCTATCTACATGCAGTCTTCTCATGTTCAGTAGTTTGCCAATTTTGCTTAGGAAAATTTGGCATTTTGCCGGCGCCGGCGCCATCGATCGAGCGGCACCATTGATGCCTGGGCGCGACGCGGTCGCGCGACCGCTGATGCAAGCGACTCTGCAATTTAGGAGCCCTGTATGCCTTTTACCAAAAGGTTGAGTAAGTTAGGTAGCTTTCCTTATAAGATTACGGTGCCCTCTTCTTATACAGTGCAGTTTTAACAAAAAGCAAGAACTCAGTATTGATGTGTTCTTTGATTGCAGCACAGCGTCTATAACAAACACTTTATCGTAAACGTTTTGAAATTCCTGGACAAAGTGTTAAGAATCTATGGTAAGTTGATTGTACCCAACAACTTACACTTATTGTTAGGGTCCATAACGCCCACTTCCACAGTTTTCGTGGCGTGGCTAGGCTTCGTACGATGCTGTAATTTGGGAAATCAATGGTGGCGTTGCTGTGATCGTTCATTCTTTGCAGACTATGTAGAACTGCTGTTATTGCTTAACTATCACATTTCACAAGAAAAGAGCAATTTGACAATTTGAGAAGGCCAGTTTTTAGAACTTTCTCGCGAGAATAACAGTTGTTTGTTCAAGTATGTCAACTATTGGTTAATCAAGGGGAACTAAAGACGAAATGGTTTCGTGAGTTTTTGCTCAATAAACAGTGGTCGCAACACATGACAAATGCGAATGTTCGACACGGCTAATTTTTGTTGTCTTGGTTGCTGTTTACATAACTCATCTTTTTATGGCAAATCCTAAGTAACTAGAAAGTCGGGAAGAAAATAAAAAATGTTTTTAAGTTTGTGCGAGCGGATTTTTTGCCTAGAGTGTCCGAACTTCATGAGAGATTGTTCGGAGAATTTATTAGGGTGAACAGTAGAACATGGGACACTTAGAGAACACCTGCAGATTTGTCAAAAAAAAGAAATGATTGAACTGTTTATTTCTGACAGATATTAGAGTATAATAACTTCTTTCAGACACCTATATAAGGTCATCCACATACCTAATTTATACTTGCTGAAATGCAAAGTAAATCATTTCGACAAGTTATAATCGAGCAGTATCTGCGCACTGAAGTATGTGAGACCATTCAAAGTACCGCTGCTGCAATGGGTGAAGGAACAGTCACCAAATCCACGAAGGCTTGCTGGTCTCAACGCTGATAGTCAGGAACATACCCTCGATACATAGAGCCACGTACTCTGGTAACCTTCACTTTGAGAGCTATGAGGGAACACAACCTTCACCTGGAAAAAAAAAACAGAAGTCATTCGGGGCGAAGCCCCGGATGTTATTATTCTGACTACATCGGAACGAATGTTAATGAAACAAGTATAGGGAGTAATATCTTTAGCTTATCTTAGCGAAACCTAGAATTTGCGTTTTCATGGCCTTTTTCACGTTAAAAAGAAGGTTTCTGTGAAATTTTCGCCAGAATTCAGGACAAACTTCCTCAGTTAACCTCTTATTTGACCAGAATAGAGTTTCAGAAGTTTAGGAAAGCTGTTGGAGTTAAATAAAAACGAGAAACTGCGCTTAAATTTGCGCAGAGAGTCGCGCACGAAAACGCCAGTTTATCTCGTTAATGAGTGATTTTCAAAGTTTGGGACGTTGTCAGTTCTCCTCGTCGTGTTATGACGATCAGAATGATATATAATGTTGCAGGGTTTCATTGAGACCCCGCGGAGATCTACTACCAGAGCCAAATGCCCCGTCGGCTCTGGTCTGTCTCCGCTGCTCGTCTGCGTCTCCGCGCGCTGCGCGCTACCTCGCTACCCCATACGCGCGGCGCGGGGCATTTGGCTCTGACCCTTTTCTTCGCTGTTTCGAACCGAATTTTAACAAGCTATATATCATTTTGAAGCTCTTGATCTCTATTTTTACGCTGACAACGTCCCAAAACCACATTTTTTAATTTGAACAAGAAATCCAGCAAAAACCTTGTTTTCAAAAATCTCTTGTTTTTTTTCCAGTTCAACTCATTTCATGCGGTTTTTTCGTGCATTCTATAGATCTTGCTTCTGTTCATTATGCAGACAACCACCCAGCCCCTATCTCTTCGATTGTGGTGAAATTTTCTGCAAAAACCGTGAATGCGTTTTTCTTTGCTTTGCTCTATTTCAGTGCTTTCGCAGCGATTTTTTTCCAGCTTGGGCGATTGTTGCTCAGACTGATAAGCGCAACAATCCAGACAACGTCCCAGGAAACAGGAACGTCAAGGAGGGGGTGAAAATTCAAAGGACGCATCAAAAATCAAAACCCCGTGTTGCGAATTGCTGGTCCTGGAACGAAAACTTTCACTCTGAAAAGCCGCCAAGTGAAGGGCTTCAAACCTTATTGCAGCGCTTTTATCCGGTTTACAGCAGTTTCTTTTGCTTTTTATACCTGTTCTACGTCATTTTCTCTTCTCTGATCTTTTTTAAACAACCTTCACTATTTAGGACGTCAGATGTTCAAACAACCTTCACTTTTGGCGCCGTGTCTCTAGACTATCGAAGGTATGGTCAGGAAACATGGTCATTAGCATTTTCGGGAACGAAGATATGTTTTATTCACTATCATAAGTGAACACATGTTTTTTGGCTACCATCTGATAGAGCTCATTACGCTCCATCCAAAATGCAGCTTACCCCGATTTTCATCTCCTTCGGAAAATATAGACGAAAATCGCAGTTTAAGTTTATTGCTTTTTTACTTGGAAATATAATGGAATTTAATATACACAATATGCCATTCGATAGATCGTGAAGAGCTCTCCAGAATGGTAGGGATCGGCCATACTATTCCTGCTATTCCTAGGACTCCTGCGATTCCTGCGATTCCTGTGAGTCCCGCACAGTTTAGACGCCGCTTTATTGAGCGCGTGTTGCGTGTTACGTGTTGTTTTACGCAACACGCGCTCATTTAAGCGGCGTCTAAACTGTGCGGGACTCACAGGAATCCCAGGAATCGCAGGAGTCGTAGGAATAGCAGGAATAGTATGGCCGATCCCGTATGTCAATTGTTCATGACTTATTGGTATAGCGCAAGATTGAGAGATATTCAAAAATCATGTTCGAGTTCTTCACGGCGCCACGGTAGGGCTGTGGGCAGAGGTGCGATGGGGGGAGCCGGGCCCACCAAAAGTGAAGGTGGTCCCAGCTACCACTGGCCGGCCAAAAGTGAAGATGGTAGTGTCGGACACTCACCTCCCAAAAACTTCGACGGGGGGAGGGGGAAGTGGGGGGGGGAGGGGGTAGAACGGACGAACAGAGCTATCTTTCTAGGTCGAACTGTGACCCAACGGCCCTCTTCAGTGCCACAGATAGGGTGAATATTAAAAATATTTATAAATTTTATTTATAAAAATTTAAAATAGACGTGTTTAGTAAATGGTATATTTGGAAGTAAAAGCTTGTTGGACTGTACGGATTTTATCAAGTAAATTTTGTCATAACATACTGCGAAGGAAGTAGGTCGATCTAGGCAGTAACGGCCGAGAACCAGAATTTTGGATAATTAAATAGTGAAAAATTTCCACTGTTATAAATCTGTTGTTTGAAGATGTCAGCAGTTGCGACTTCAGAGGTTTTCGAGAGTAAATGGTGCTCTATCAGATAGTGAAGGAGTCGAATGGATTTGAAAGATAGTCGTTGAAAACCAGAGTTTTAAAAATTTAGGCCATTTTTGCGTGTTTTTTGACAATTGACAGTTAAACTCATATAAATCTTGAATGTGAAAGTGTGTGATGTTGCGACTTCATAGATTTTATAGAGCAAGGTTTGCCTTATCTGAATGTATCTTAGCCGTACCGATTCACCTGAAACAGTGCCGAGACCCAGAGTCTGAAGCAGGTAAAAAAGCGCTTTTTGAACTTCAACAGCTCATAACTTCTTCAGAACTGCATGAATCATGTTGCGACTTTATAGGTTAGATTCTTCCCATCAAGAGCTTTCATATGATATATAATATGTGGGGGTTTAGAGCCTCCTACGAATTATGCCCATGGGGGGAGCCTTTCCATACCGAAGTCTCCCCCCTCCACTACATTAAAGTGGGCTAGGGGGAGACTTTGGTATGGAAAGGCTCCCCCCACGGGCGTAATTCGTAGGAGGCTCTAAACCCCCACATATTATATATCATATGAAAGCTCTTGATGGGAAGAATCTAACCTATAAAGTCGCAACATGATTCATGCAGTTCTGAAGAAGTTATGAGCTGTTGAAGTTCAAAAAGCGCTTTTTTACCTGCTTTTTCAAGACTCTGGGTCTCGGCAATGTTTCAGTGAATCGGTACGGCTAAGATATACTCAGATAAGGCAAACCTTACTCTATAAAAACTATGAAGTCGCAACATCACACACTTTCACATTTAGGATTTATATGAGTTTAAGTGTCAACTGTCAAAAAACACGCAAAAATGGTGTAAATTTTTAAAACTCTGGTTTTCAACGACTATCTTTCAAATCCATTCGACTCCTTCACTATCTGATAGAGCACCATTTACTCTCGAAAACCTCTGAAGTCGTAACTGCTGACATCTTCAAACAACAGATTTATAACAGTGGAAATTTTTCACTATTTAATTATCCAAAATTCTGGTTCTCGGCCGTTACTGCCTAGATCGACCTACTTCCTTCGCAGTATGTTATGACAAA